GTCCGGCCTCCAAATATCTGTCTTAGAGCCATTGGAATTCCCATTCCTGTTGCTTATTTGCCTGAATGAGCTACCTGTTGGAGTGACTGTTTACATGTCAATCATTGCACATGTTGCTAAGCTCTTGAAAATAAGTAAGAGTTATTGAGAGTAGCAGAGTTGCTGAGAAAAAGGACAAATTCAAGAAATTGACAGACAATTACCATTAGAGTTCAAACCAAACAAATGGAAAGTAATGACGAGAAAAAAGGATAGAAAAAAAGACAAGAAGGAATCTACACTATAATGCGAAGGTAAAGATCGTGATCAGGAAGAGGAAAATACTTGGGAGGGAATTGAACTCAATCACTCACTAGATACTAAACAAAATATATTAACAACTGTAAGCATATGGGAAGATATCATATAAGAAAAGGCATTTATGAACCCTAAAAACACCTGTTTCCTGTCATTGTACACAACACCACCGGCATGGAATTCACTCCTCGTGAAACAATAACGCAAGTCAGAGTTATAAAGACTCAGGTACACGAGCAACTTAAGGCGAACTCAGTATTACATCCCATAAGGAGAAAAGCAAAACGAGAGACATGATCGCTACATTCAAGATACTGCAGAGAAAATATCAAATTTGACAAATAAAGTATTTTAAATGGTGATAAAGCAACAAGACAAGAGTACATAGTTGGAAGTTAGAAATGCAAATGAGTTGAAGAAGCGTAAGAGAGCAGTCGTGCCTTATACGGGAGATGTAAGGTACATAAGGTGTATACCTGCAATATTCAGTTTTAGGCGGAAGAAACAACATTCATATACAGTTATAATTCAACTTACTACAAAAAATAGAAATAAAAAACTAATAAAACCCACCAGTGTCTTAATCAACGATAAAAGATTTATTACGTACAAATAATTCTTTAAATACTACAACAATTTATAAAAAAGTTAAAATACAAACTAACTAGAATAAATGAAACTTCCAGTCCACAAATAGCAGCAGCTCTACGCTGAGCCTAATATGAACGTAGAGGAAACTTTAAAAGTTATGCACCTATAAGAATCCACTTAGTAAATATACGGTTATGACCAGGCTTTAATATGAGCTAAGTCGCGATACCAGCTCTTAGCTCTCATAAAGTGGCTTAAGTTGTAACGTTATTCCTCCGGAGACTTTGACAGATGCTCAATAAAATGAGAGTTTGAAAATTGACAGAGTTGACAGAGAGCTAAAAATAGACAGACAGATAGATAGATAGATAGATAGATAGATAGATAGATAGATAGATAGATAGATAGATAGATAGATAGATAGATAGATAGTTAGATAATAGATAGATAGATAGATAAATAGATAAATAGATAAATAGATAGATAGATAGATAGATAGATAGATAGATAGATAGATAGATAGATAGATAGATAGATAGATAGATAGATAGATAGATAGATAGATATAGATAGATATAGATAGACAGATTGATAGATAGAGGGAAGGAAAGGCAGAAAGAAAGAGAGAGAGAGAGAGAGAGAGAGAGAGAGAGAGAGAGAGAGAAGAGAGAGAGAGAAGAGAGAGAGAGAGAGAGAGAGAGAGAGAGAGAGAGAGAGAGAGAGAGAGAGAGAGAGAGAGAGAGAGAGAGAGAGAGAGAGAGAGAGAGAGAGAGAGAGAGAGAGAGAGAGAGAGGAGAGAGAGAGAGAGAGAGAGAGAGAGAGAGAGAGAGAGAGAGAGAGAGAGAGAGAGAGAGAGAGAGAGAGAGAGAGAGAGAGAGAGAGAGAGAGAGAGAGAGAGAGAGAGAGAGAGAGAGAGAGAGAGAGAGAGAGAGAGAGAGAGAGAGAGAGAGAGAGAGAGAGAGAGAGAGAGAGAGAGAGAGAGAGAGAGAGAGAGAGAGAGAGAGAGAGAGAGAGAGAGAGAGAGAGAGAGAGAGAGAGAGAGAGAGAGAGAGAGAGAGAGAGAGGAGAGAGAGAGAGAGAGAGAGAGAGAGAGAGAGAGAGGAGAGAGAGAGAGAGAGAGAGAGAGAGAGAGAGAGGAGAGAGAGAGAGAGAGAGAGAGAGAGAGAGAGAGAGAGAGAGAGAGAGAGAGAGAGAGAGAGAGAGAGAGAGAGAGAGAGAGAGAGAGAGAGAGAGAGAGAGAGAGAGAGAGAGAGAGAGAGAGAGAGAGAGAGAGAGAGAGAGAGAGAGAGAGAGAGAGAGAGAGAGAGAGAGAGAGAGAGAGAGAGAGAGAGAGAGAGAGAGAGAGAGAGAGAGAGAGAGAGAGAGAGAGAGAGAGAGAGAGAGAACATAAGAAGGAGAGAGAGAGAGAGAGAGAGAGACTGAGCAAGACACGGGGCAGAGTATTAAGAACATAAGAATGAAGGTAACTGCTGAAGGCCTATTGATCAATACGAGGCAAGTGTTATTTATAACCACCCAATCTCATTCATATATGTGTCTAACCTACGCTTGAAACAATCAAGGGATATTACTTTTATTCTGTGACGCGTTAATTGGTTCCACAATTTAACAACCCTGTTTCCGAACCAATATTTACTCAGGTGTTCCCTAAATCTAAAATTATAAAATTTATACCTATTGTTTTATATTTTATCTTGTGTTGATAATTTTAATACCTATTAATATCTCCTTTGTTTTGTCCATTCATCCACTTTACACCTCTATCATGCCACCCCTTATTCTTCGCCTTTCTAGAGAGTGTAATTTATACTTTGTCAATCGTTCTTCATATGACAGTTTCTAATTTGTGGGATTATCTTTGTCATCGTACGCTGGTCGCGTTCTAGTGAATTTATATCCATTCTATAGTATGGCGACCACAACTGAACTGCATAATCTAAATGGGGCCTAACCAGAGTAAGATATAGCTGAAGAACAGCACCAGGTGTCTTGTTACTAACGCTTTGATTAATAAACCCCAGTGTCCTATTTGCCTTACTTCGAACATTTATGCATTGATGTTTTTGCATTTAAATGCATATATGCATTTTTGGTTTTAAATTCTTACTAATCATAACTCTCAAATCCGTTTCGCAATCCGACTTCGCAATCTCAACACCATCTACCTCGTGTTTTGTAACTCTTTCATCATTACCCTGTCTCAAAGCCTTTCATTTGTCAGCATTAACTGCATCTGCCAATCTTTTGACCTTTTCAAAACCCTATTTAGAGCGTTTTGAAGTTATAATGAGTTTTCCGTGTTTATTTACCTTGCAATTTTGAAATCATCGACAAATTTGCAAATATTGCTGCTCAAACCTGAATCTAAATCATTTATATGTATTATGAATAACACAGGTCCCAGAACAGAGACCTGAGCAATTCCACTTATAACATTTTTCCCAGTCTGACTTAACCCTATTTATATTATCTTCGTTTTCTTTGGTATAGCAATGCCCTAATCCCAATTATTATAGCACCCCCAATACCATTTATGTCTATCGAACTATTAACTAACCAACTAATAACATAGTTGTTTATGTTACTAGCCAACCAGCAAGTGAACTTTACCCCTGAATTTCTCGGAAGGTCAAGAATGTCAGATAAAATGCAACACATTAAATAAATCGTGGAAATATCAGCAGTCATAATAAAAGAAAAGGAACCTTAAAATAGTTGGTGTGAAGGAATAATAACTGACAGGGTCGGGGAGGGAGAGTACCTACAGTAAGGCTGCTGACGACTAACACCTGTCTCCTGGAGGCCTTAACCGTACGCAAGCATCCTGGCTAATGGGCTGAACATTGCGGCTGAGAGCTCTCTCTCACTCTGGGTAGATTCTGGTGTTGAAAGGATCGAGCCGCGGAGAACTTCATCCTCGGAATCACCGCAAGATAACGCGATGGTCACCATCTCTTACGCTGGTCTGCAGTGAAGACTTCGCTCTAATTGGTCCCTTTGTCCTTGCCCTGGTTCATAGCAACGCTGCAGCGATCATTTTCCCCGTCAACGATGTACTTAGGGGGACCGGCGGGAGGTACCTCTGTTGATGTGCCACTCTCCTGCCACACTAGTTAGGCTGATCCAGTCTACTTGCCACAGAGTGCAGGTCAGCAGTCAGTGAAGGAGAACCCCCAAGCCCTGCCTGCAACACTGTGTAGTTGCAGACTGTCTTCCTCTTCCACTAGACTGTCACCTTGGGTGAACTGGTGAACTAAGGCGCCTCAATAATCAGACCGACTCTTGAAATAAATGTCACTACAAACTGTCTCGGCTGCAAGAGACTTGGCTGTAACTGAGCCACTAAACTGTCCAAACTTTCAATCAAAAAAATTATTAACCAAAAATATTTTGTCCATGTTATGGCCTGGTTGTTTGGGGCGTGTGTGTGGGAACACCCACCGCATAGGTTCGAGCCCTCATCACGGCTCCCGTTGATTTGTTCAATAATAATAATAATAATAATAATAATAATAATTACATTTAAAATAACAAAAAATAAAATATAATAATAATGGGAATAATAATATCATTAATAATAATGCGAAAATTCGATAATTTTAGGTCATCTGATGAGAAGAACAAAAATAAATCTTATATCATATGTAAATCCCGTTAGTAATGAAGAAACAAGAGGCACACGCCCTAGACAACCAGGCCACGACAAGGTCAAAATATTTATTGTTAGTAACTTTTGATATTGAAAGTTTGGGCAGTTTAGAGGCTCAGTTAGAGCCAAGTCTGTTGCAACCGAGACAGGTTGTTGTAACATTTATTTCAAGTGTCGGTCTGATTATTGAGGCGCTTTAGATCACCAGTTCACCCAAGGTGACTGCCTAGTGGAAGATGTAAATTAAATAAAGTTAAGGAACAATTAAAAAACAATGTAAAGAGAACCAAGGAGCGTAACCAAAGAGACAAATCAAAACCGAGGCGTATAAAAGCACCAATTAAAAGTACGCACCTCAATTACCCTAGTCGGCAATGTAGTGAAAAAGACTACACATGCAGGTATAAGCGTTCCCGGTGATCCTGTAACACACGGACACATGCAGCATGTATAGTGCCACATCATGCAGGACCCAGCCCGTGTTGACACGCACCCACCACGTGCTTGGTGGGTGCGTGTTAAAGCACCAGTTCAAGCACCAGCACCAGCCCACAGCACCAGTTCAAGCACCAGCAACAGCCCACAGCACCAGCACCAGCCCACAGCACCAGTTCAAGCACCAGCAACAGCCCACAGCACCAGCACCAGCCCACAGCACCAGTTCAAGCACCAGCAACAGCCCACAGCACCAGCACCAGCCCACAGCACCAGTTCAAGCACCAGCAACAGCCCACAGCACCAGCACCAGCCCACAGCACCAGTTCAAGCATCAGCACCAGCCCACATCACCAGTTCAACCGGACGCGGTAAACATCAACAGCATCACCCAGAATACACAACACAGGCGGCGACGACAGTGTTCCCGTTCAACATGCAGCAACTCAACTAAACATTGATGCAATCCTGCAACGCTGACCGCACCGTGTGTTGATGTAAACACCACATCAAATATACATGGTACACAGGTTTACACTAACAATAGATGAAAATACTGCCAAGCGTGTAACACAATATGTCTGTATCATCTAAACTGTGGAGGGTTCTATAGTAGAGTTTTCACTCAAGCTCTATTAATGTTCGAATATGTTTATGAAATGAGGATAAAAACTGTGTGTGGTGAAGTGTGATAAAGAAGAACAGCATGAAACTAACGAAGGAACAGCAGCAGCAGCAGCAACATCTACGGCAACAACAGCAGCCGCAGGAACGGCAACAGCACGAACATTTACAGCAGTAACAACAGTAACAGCCGGAGCAGCCACAGAAACAATAGCAGCAGCAGCACCACCACCAACAACAACAACATTAGCAGCAATAGCAGAAACCTTGCCAGCAGCAACAACAGCAGTAGCAGCAACAACAGCAGTAGCAGCAACAACAGCAGTAGCAGCAGCAGCAACAACAGCAACAGCAACAGCAGCAGCAGCAGGAGAAGCAGCAGCAACAGTGGCAGGAACAGTAGCAACAGAAGCAACAACGGAACACACCACAAACTCAAAATATTACTTCTGAAACCAACACAAACATTGTAAACAATTCTGTACAGTAATCGATTTGGGCCTGGCGGCCATAATGGCGGCCATGTTGGTGGCCATAATGGCGGCCATGTTGGCGGCCCATGATGACGGCCATAATGGCGGCCATGTTGGCAGGAATATTGGCGGCTATGTTGGCGACCAGGTTGGCGGCCATGTTGGCGGCCCATGATGACGGCCATAATGGCGGCCATGTTGGCAGCCATGTTGGCGGCCATATTGGAAAAAAAATCCCCTTGCCAGAATCGCGTACACAAACCAGAAATTTTCCCTAGGCATTATACAACATTTTGTGAAAACAGCCGTGTACACTTTCGTGCCATAGTCGCCCTCTTTGTAGCTCCTAGATTATAGTGACATATTTTTACAACTATTTATTTGGTATCTTGTATGTTGTGATCTTATCTCTTTCGCTTATTCCCTCCTCCAAAATTGGGAGGTTATTATCTCTTAACCCTTCGTAATAGCTATACCCTCCTAGCACTTGCACTGTTCTTGTACCAAACACCTATATTTTTTAAATGTCATTTATATGTATCACACGGTGTAGATTTCAGCCTTGTGCTGTATATTCCTGTATTTCTCTAAGAATGGTTATGTATATTACATTGAAAGATTCCTGGTGTAGGTCACTAAATGACGTTCAAATGCCAGCCTGAACATCATATGCGGCCGATGATTCCTGCTTATGTGTTCCTCAGGAGTTACTGATGGAATTATATTAACTCTAATATATTTTTCTCTTTCTGATTCCCGTAGTTGCTTTCCCCTTATGGTGTAGGTACCTCCTGGTGTCCCTTTTTCCTTTCTATATTCATCATTACACACAGAAATCACAATAAAGTGACATATCAAATGAACAAATCCTCAAAGGAACAAACATCCAGCGCAGAGGTTCGAACCCTTATCAAGGCCCTTATGGATATTTTCATCTTTATCATTTTAAGTATGTTGTACATCAGCCTTCCCTGAGGTTTCATAACAAATATTTTTGACAGTGGAGGAAAAGAAAGTCTGTCCAGGCTTCTTCTTCCTGTCGTATTTTAATAATCATTGTCGTGGAACTCGAACAAGTTTAACAGGCATGAAATTAGCCTTCTAAACCCATGCTGAGCTTTTATTATATTCATTATCTGCTCTATATATTCACTTAATCTCAACCTGATTAATTTTCCCAGAACTTTATGCATAATACTTCTGTATCTCTGGGTCGGTAATATAGTGCCTCAGGTCTGTTCCCTTTTTTTGAAAGTTTTGTTTAGGCTTGCCTTTGTCAAGAACTGTAGATTTCGTTTTCCATGAGTTAAACTGAAAACTCCTTTCAGTGGGTGACAAAGAATTTCTGCAACATTCAACAGTAGACAGGGTACATTGTGTTCAGTTCTGTTGTTTTTGTTGTATATAGTTCCTACAGGTATTTTTTTCACGTTTTTGACAGTAACAAACTCTGTCATCCAGTGTTTCCTTTAACATTTCATTTCAGGTTTTGTATCTTTAGTCTCCATACATCTGGAGTAATTCTCCAGATGTATGGAGAATCCACCTTCTCCAAACGCTGCATCTCCATTTTTCTAGAGTCCAACCATCCCCTAGATCAACGCTGCTATTTCATTCCCCCGGAGACCTGCCATTCCCTGGAGGTCCCGCTAGAGACCTGCCATTCCCTGGAGGTCCTCCTAGAGACCTGCCATTCCCTGGAGGTCCTCCTAGAGACCTGCCATTCCCTGGAGGTCCCCCTAGACACCTGACATTCCCTGGAGGTCCTCCAAGAGACCTGCCATTCCCTGGAGGTCCCTCCCTGGAGACCTGCCGTTCCCTAAAGGTCCCACTGGAGACCTGCTATTAATTTAAACTAACCTATATAAATAAAAATGTAAATATTCGTTTGTTCAAAATCGCTAATCTCCGAAAGTCCTTCACCGCTTTCAAACAACTTTTCATTCACAATAGAGCGAGTTTTAATATATATACTATATAGATGTCACGTCTGTGACGGGAAAAACATGTTTTTTTTTTAACTGTGCTTTTCATGCGTTTTTCAGGTGAGGGAATCTTCGAAACCACTTTACCGATTGCTTTGAAATTTTGACACAACGTTGCATTCGAATACGCGCGTGTTTTTATATATCTACTATATACATGCCTCACCTGTGACAAGAAAAAATGTGTTTTTTTGGAAAAATAGCACCATCTGTTAGACTTAAGAGCCGTACCCGCTGTAATCTCCGAATTTTTTTCAGTGATTGCTTTGAAATTTTGACACAACATTCCATTCCAATATGCGTGTGTCTTTATATACCTACTATATAGATGCCACACCTGTGGCAGGTAAAAATATGTTTTTTTGAAAAAGAGCACCATCTGTTGCACGTAATACTAATCATGTTTCGATTCCATTTCAATGTTTCTGATTTCATTCATAAGTTGAATTTTCATATATTTCGATTTATTTTCAATTTGATTTAATTATTTTGTGTGACATTGTGTTGGAATAGACCTGTGTTATTTATCATACCGTTCATTTCGTGAGTATAGTTTATTTTTTTTATTTTTTTTTATTTCGTTTTTCAACTGTTTTTCTTATATGTCAGTGATGGGAGGACGGTGGGGAGGATGAGGGGACGGGAGTGGGGGATGGAGTGGATGACGAAAGGACAGGAGTGGGGGAGTGAAGGACGAGGAGACAGGGGATGGGGTAATGGTGGAGGAGGACGAGTGGACGGGGGAGTAGCAGATGGTGGTGACGAGGGGACAGGGGAATGGAGAATGGTGGGGGATGGTGAGGGCGACAAGAGGACGGAGGAGGGGGTATGGTAGGGAGGACGATAGAACGTGAGAGTGGGAAATTGTTTGGGAGGACGGGGGTGAGAAGAATGGTTAGGAGGACGAGTGGACGGGAGAGGGGGGAATGGTGAGGAGGACCACCATTCCAATAGTGTGGCTCAGCTATGCACATGCATTGCTGAGCCACAGCATCGCGTGGATGCGTACAGGTATTATAGTATGAAACGAGAAAAGAAGTCACAAAGATACAAATACACACACATTAACACGCTCTAAAATAAAAAAAAATTAATATATTCATATCGTAGAAGAAACACGCAAATAAAAAAAGTTTTTTCCAAAAATTCTCTTATCACTGCCCACTCAGATTTTTGCCAGAAATAACTGGATTGGCGAAAATACATCTTACGATTGAATGAAGTCTGTACTTGTGTAGCAGGTCTGCAGGGGGACATGCAAACCTGTAACAGAACCTGCAGACCTGTTATTAAAGCAACTATTAGATAGAGAAGAGGAGGGGACTCTTGCAGTAAACCCATTATTAGGGGCTAACTGTAATATATATATATATATATATATATATATATATATATATATATATATATATATATATATATATATATATATATATATATATATATATATATATATATATAACCTAGAAGGGGTACCACCTCTGGTGCAAGTGTAGGGACCCATAGCCTTTGGAGAAGAAAATAAAGAGTACTCAGAGAAGACCTTGTGGATCCTCACTGAACACTTTGATATTTTCTTCTCCTACCACCCCTATTCTTTTGGTATGTGTGTATATTTATCTAACTTTATTTGAAAATGTCCTTACACAAAAAAAGTTACAATATTGATTACATGCAGAGTACAAGGCTGCTTGTCACAAGTTGTACAGCTCTTCCAGCTCCTCAGATGGCGGGCAGGAACCATGGATGCAGTGAGCATTTCCTCTCTGGATTGCCACACTAAGGCGCTGATAAAGAAAACTGGCAGCTCTAGGGTCTCTAGTTGTTTCGATTAGCTTAGACCCCAACTCCTTCAAAAAGCTAGCAGCACTTTTACCCCAGGCACCAAGTGTCTCTGAGGCAATGGGGACAAAATTGTAGCCGTGCTCAAGGTCTCTGTATTTACGTGACTTGGCCGCTTCCCGGTGATTGGCAGCTCCTCCTGCTTGTGTAGCACTGAAGTCAACATAGGTATTGGCTAAAGTTGAAACGCAAGTGTAGTCCCACACCAACTGTCTACCATTCTTCCAGGGGTTCACCGTAATTCCGTCTGGGCGACCGACAGGCTCATCAGAGTTGCGGGACATTAGATAACGGGGCTCTCTCTCTGCTGGACAACTGGCTGTGGTAAGGCTTGTCTTAATAATGTCATTGACCTCGCGTGTCTTGCATGCCATCCTCCTGTCCTTTGGCAGAGAAGGCCATGCCGTCCGTATCTGTCGGCCTCTGCCTCGCCGCAAATACACCTATATATATATATATATATATAATATATATATAATATATATATATATATATATATATATATATATATATATATATATATATATATATAT